CTTTTAAAAATTTAAAAATAAATAAATAAATTTAACAAAATATAAGCACTTCCTTTCCTGAGGATTAAATTACACATTACATTGTAATTAGTTTTTTTTTTTTAACTCAATTTGATATTTTTTTTTATTCTTATGTTAATCCCCATACATTACATCATTAGTTCTAGATGAAGTGTTCCATGATTCATTGTTCGTGCATGTAATTAGTTTTTTATAGTTCTGTCTCCCCTAACCATCTATCTATTCATCTGTGGCAGACGCTGTGTCTTAGTTCATCTTAATGCAACAGTTAAGACACTCCTCATCTCCTGGACTCATATGACCCTGAGCAGGTCACTTAAGTTTTCCTTATCTCAATTTTCTTTATGTTTAAACACTAACACAGGATGTAGTCCTAATTCATAGGATTGCTATAAAGGTTAAATAATGAAGTGAATACACAGCATTTAGTACTACACCTGAGATCTAGTAAAATCTCATTAAGTGAGAACCATCATTACTGTAATGTTCACTGTACTTGGCACAAAATAGTCATTCATTGATTATTTACTGGACAAATTAATCACAAAAGCATATGATCCTTGGGGGCACCTGGGTGGCTCAGTCATTAAGTGTCTGCCTTCAGCTCAGGTCATGATCCCAGGGTCCTGGGATCGAGCCCCGCATGGGGCTCCCTGCTCAGCCGGGAGTCTGCTTCTCCCTCTCCCGCTCCCCCTGCTTGTGTTCCCTCTCTCGCTATGTCTCTCTCTGTCAAATAAATAAAATCTTTAAAAAAAATTTTTTAAAAAAGCATATGATCCTCTAATAAATTAAAAATAATTAAAAATTTAAAAAAATAAGAAATTCAGCATGCTCAAGAAATTATTGTTATTAATACACTTTGGCAGTATGTACTGTATCTCTAACAAAAACTACAGATCTTTTAAAGACCAGCAATTCTACTTCTACTTATATACTAAGAAAATAATCAGACAAGTATATGCGAAGCAAAAAAAAAAAACATTCTAAAGGGAACAAGAGGGAACTGCTTAAATAAACTGGTGTATATATTTACAAATTTAACACTAGGTACATATTAAAAATGATAGCATAGAAATACATTTGTTGACCTAGAAAAACATTCTTACATATTATTAAATATCTTACAAGCAGGCTACAAAGGTATAATTATAATTTTACTATACACCATTTATTTGTACATAATATAGAATTTTATGCCTCAATATATTTAAATGCAAATAGAAATGGAATATACCATAGTATTATCAGTCATTACTTCTGGGTAGCAGAATATCAGGTGATTTTAATTTTTTGTTTGCTTATTTGTATGTTCTAATCTTTCTAAAATGAATCTGTATAATCTGTGAGTTAAATATTAAGGAAAGGAATTTTGGAGACTAAAACACTGAAATCACTCCAGTTATGATTTATATATAAAATTTCCTTTGTAGACTTAATTCAGCTATCTCCACATACCTTTGTCTGATGCTGCTCTTTTAGTGTATTCAAGTACAAGGTGCTCTGGTTCCCATGGTAGTATTTTTCCTTTCTTCTTTCCACGTCTTCTTTTAAAGTGATGGGCCAGAAAAATTACAGATACAGCACTCACTGCAGTTACCACAAACAACTTTTTTGCTACTGGTGAAAATTTTATCTGGAAAAGATGCAGGTAGACTGAAAAAAGCTTCTTATATTTGTTCACTTAAAGACGTAAGAACAAAACTTATTCTTAAGTTAAGAATGAATACTATAGGGCGCCTGGGTGGCTCAGATGGTTAAGTGTCTGCCTTCGGCTCAGGTCATGATCCCAGGGTCCTGGGATCGAGTCCCGCATCAGGCTCCCTGCTCCTTGGGAGCCTGCTTCTCCCTCTGCCTCTCTCTCTCTCTCTCTGTCTCTCATGAATAAATAAATAAAATCTTTAAAAAAAAAAAAAAAAGAATGAATACTATATTAGTACTAGTTCTAAGTCCTACGGAGAGAATATTATTTCACACTCTTTAAATGACAACTAGCCCAACCTGAATTTTAAAAACAAGCAAAATGTATTATTTATTACTTTCTGAAGTTCTTAGGTAAACAATATTACCACAAAAGTCAAAAGGAACACAAAATAATTCAACTCCATTAAAACCTATTGAACTAATGATTTTCATGCAACTAAATGTCTGAATCATTGCAAGATTTTAAATTACAGGAATGACTAATTCAGAGTTTTGCTTTGTTTTGTTTTTGTTTTTTGAGTAGGCTCCATGCCCAGCATGGAGCCCAATGTGGGGCTTCACAACCCTGAAATCAAGAACTGAGCTGAGATCAAGAGTCAGACGCCTAACCAACTGAGCCACCCAGGCACCCCTAATTCAGAGTTTTAAAACAAACCAATTTTTTTTTTTAAACTATCTGGAAATCTGGACAAACATGAATTAACTCAATTTCTTTTTTTTTAAGATTTATTTATTTATTTATTTATTTACTTATTTGAGAGAGACTGTGCCACCCAGGAGCCCCAAATTAACTCAATTTCTAAATGCTATCTGAATAAACCCTTTATGCATGAATTATTCAACAAATATTTACTCAGCATTTTACAATGTACCACACTGTGCTATGAAAATTAAAATTAAAATCTTACTGTAATTTTCTTCAACAAGCAAATATCAATGCCTTTCAATGATCAGGAAGCACTAGGTATAGAGGACACAGATCTTGCCTCCTTCAAGCAGTGTGCTAATAGTAGAGACAAATATATTCACAGATAATTATAGTACAGTGTGATAAATACAGTAATATAAGTATACACTAAGTATCAACATCAGAGCAAGAGGTAATTAACTTTGTCTTAGGGGACAGACACTATCAATAGTAAAAAATACAGGAGAGCAATAAAATAAAGCCATAGTCTTGAGGTGTAGAGCGCTGGAAAGAGTGTCACTTCCAAACTCACAATAACAAAAAAGCCAGACAAATGGCAAATTTTCATTTTTTCTTGAACCCATCACAATGCTGAGGTCAAAGGGCAATCAACTGGCCCTAAAGAGACACAGGTATCTCTGCATGAAGAGATAGGACATAAGCTCTGGCATGCAGAGATAAAACACAGCAGGACATCAGTAAGATGAGTTCAGTTAGTTTGCCTGGTAAATTGGTAAAGACAGTGTGCACTGGTGAGAGAGGATAAAGTACCCCCGGGGAGCAGAGGGGGATGCTGCAAAGATAGGGGTAATCCATACTTTTTGCAGGTTTTATCTTCATGAATCCCACCAGGCTCTACTCACAGAAAAGACTGCTAGAGCCCTAAGTCTCCCTAATGGTATAGGACTGGAAGGAAACAGGAGTTTTTGTGGAGGGGCATGAACTGCATCAATACCCTTCTCTATCCCTTCCAAAGAAAAGACCTAATCTGTGGGATGCAGCTTTAACTTCCAAAGGAAATTTATACCATTAAATGCTTATATTAAAAAAGAAAGGTATCAAATCCATAATCTGAGTTTTTGCCTTAAGAAAATAGAAAAAAGAACAAATTCAATCCAAAGCAAGCAGAAGACAGGAAGTAATAAAGACTAAATAGAAATCAATGAAATAGAAAGACAAATCAATAAAAACAAAAGTGTTTAAAAAAATCAACAGGTTCACTCCCAATAGGTTTCAGGGGGAAAAAATAAAACTGACAAAGCTCTAACCGGTCTGACCAAAAACAAACAAAAAGAGAGAGAGAGAGAGGGAGAGAGAAAAGACACATATTACCAAAATCAGAAATAAAAGAGGTGTCATCACTAAAGACCTTACAGATATGAAAAGGATTACTATAAACAACTCTATGCCCATAAACTCAACAATTTTAGATGAAATGGACCAATTTCTTGAAAAATAGAAACTATCAAAATTCACTCAGGAAGAAACAGCAAAGAAATTGAATATGTAGTTAAATAAAACCTTTTAACAAATGATATAGCAAATTCTACTAAGTATTTAACAAAGAAATATCAATTCCATTCAATGAGGGAATTCTTCCCAATCATTTTTTGAAGCCAGCATTATTATTAATATCAAAACCAAAGATATTACAAAAAAATTATAGGGTAGTATCTATAATGTTGATTTTTAAAAAAATCCTTCACAAAATATTAACATATTGAATCCAGCAATATATAAAATGAATACCATAGATGATCTAGTAGTGTATATCCTAGGAATGCAAATCTGGTTCAACATTCAAATATCAATCAATGTAACTTACCATAATAACAAACCAAGAAGAAACGCCATAATATAATCTCAATAAATTCAAAAAGAACATTTGAAAATATTCAACATCCACTCATGATTTTTAAAAAAACTCAGCAAATTAGGACTAGAAGGTGTGTGGCTTAAATAGTTTCCCCCCAAAATTCACATTAACCTTGAATATCAGATTATGATCTTATTTAAAAATAAAGTCTTTGTCCATGTAATTAAGGTAAGAATCAAGATGACATCACATTGTTTTAGGGTGGACCCTAAATCAAATAAGTGCCCTTATAAGGGATTAAAGGACACATAGAGACACAAAAGAGAAAGCCATGTGAAGAGGGAGGCAGAGATTACAGTTATGCTGTCATAGCCAAGGAATGCCTGAAGCTACCAGAACCAACATCATATTAAAAGTGCCAGCCAATATAAAAAGTCAAGAAAAAAGAATAAAAGGAATACACATTGGAAAGGAAGAAGTAAAACTCTGTATTTGCAGACAATTTTGATTGTCTACATGGAAAATCCAAAAAAATCTACCTAAAAATCTCCTAGAACTGATAGGTAAATAGGCTACAAAGTCAATAACAGCAATAAGCAACTGGAAATGAAATTTAAAAAGCAATACCATTTATAATAGCACCAAGTAAAAGAAAAAGAAAAAAATACTTAGCAATAAATCTAAAAAAAATCAGTGCTAGTAAATAAAACACTGATGAAAGAAATCAACAAAGATAAAAGGAGAGATACATCATGTTCATGGATTATAAAATGTTGTTTCTCTTCAAACTGATGTACAAAAACCAATATAACCCTAATCAAAATTCCAGCAAAAATTTTTTTTAAAGATTTTATTTATTTATTTGAGGGGGGGAGCACGAGCAGGGGGGAGGGGCTGAGTGAGAGGGAGAAACAGACTCCCTGCTGAGCAGGGAGCCTGAAGCGGGGCTCGATCCTAGGACCCTGAGATCATGACCTGAGCCAAAGGCAGATGCTTAACCAACCCAGACACGCCCCGGCAAAAATTTTTGTAGGTACTGGTAGCTTATTATTAAAAAAAAAATTAAGGAAAGGCAAAGGAACTAAAATAACCAAAATAACTCTGAAAAAGAGAAAGTTGGAGAACTTACTCTAGCCAATTTCAAAACTTAACTATAAAGCTACAATAATTAAAACAGTGTGGTATTGGCGAAACAATAGGCATATAGATCAACGCAACAGAACAGAATTCAGAAATAAACCTGTACAAATACAGTCAACCTATTTCTGTCAAAAGTAAATTCAAGGAAGAAATTTCTTTTTTTAAAGATTTTATTTATTTGTCAGAGAGAGAGCACAAGCAGGGGGAGCAGAAGACAGAGCAGGCAGAGGGAGAAGCAGGCTCCCCACTGAGCAAGGAGCCCCAATGCGGGGCTCGATCCCAGGACCCTGGAATCACGACCCGAGCTGAAGGCAAACGCTTAACCAACTCAGCCACCCAGGTGTCCCTCAAGGAAGAAATTTCTTGAAGAAAACACAGAAAATCTATGTAGTCTAGAAATCCACCAAGACCTACAAACGTCCCTCCACAGATAAATGGATAAACTGGTACATCCATACAATGGAATGAATACTCAGCAATAAAAAAGGTCATAATAGTCAGACACACAACAATGTGAATGAATCTCAAATGCATTATGTTAAGTGAAAAAAGCCAATTCCAAAAGATTATATACTATATAATCTCACACTACATACATTAATTCACTCATGGATCATAAACCTAAAACTATAAGAACATAAAATCTAAAACTATAAAAGTTCTAGAAAAAAGCATACGAAAAAATCTTTGTGACCCTTGGTTAGGCAAATATTTCTAAGAGATGACACCAAGAACCTGATCCGTTAAAAAAAAAAGAAAAAAAGTTGACAAATGGACTTCAGAATTAAAACCTTCTGCTTTTTAAAAGGCATTGCTTAGGGGTGCCTGGGTGGCTCAGTCAGTTAGGCCTCTGGCTCCTGATTTCGGCTCAGGTCATGATTTCATGGGTCATGGGATCAAGCCTGCATTGGGCTCTGCGCTCAGTGGGGAGTCTGTTTGAGATTCTTTCTCTCCCTTCCTTCTGTCCTGTCTCCTGCTCACACAAGCTCTCTCTCTAAAATAAATGTTTAAAAACACATATACATACATAAATAGCACTTTCCAGAAGTTGAAAAGACAATCTACAGACAAGAATAGTTACAAATGATAGATCTGATAAAGGAATCGTACCCAAGGTATATAAGGAATTCTCAAAACAACCCAATTAAAAAATGGGCAAAAGCTTTGAATAGACACATCAACAAAGATTTACGGATGGCAAATAAGCATACGAAAGCATGTTCAGGGGCGCCTGGGTGGCTCAGTCATTAAGCGGCTGCCTTCGGCTCAGGTCATG